GTTGGAAATTCTGGCTATCGGATTCCAACCAAGTAGTCCTAAAAATAATGTATTCACTAAGATATTGGAATATTTTGGGTCCAACCCACACTTGGATTGTCGGAGCGCATTATTGAGGATGAAAATACTCATATGAAATAAAAACCCAGTGCTCCTTCATTTCTCATAGTTTGATAACAGATATTTTGTGCATAAACTGTAAAGAAGTAAATAGATTATGTTTTTATGAACCGGATCCTACATAAGTTTACATTGATTTGTATTACAAAATTTGGCGTCTCTATCACTCACAGAGGCCATTGATTATACTTTAGTGTATAAATCAATCAAACTTACTTAGCGGTTTTTTAGTGAGTTAGTTTACTACGGGATAGGGTCACTAAACCCATGCCCAACCCTCCTCCTTTATCCGGGCATGGGACTGGTAGTAGACTCAAGGAGGCTCCAGATGGAGTTGAGCCAATCAAACAGTCTATTTAAAAGCAAACGAGTTTTATGTGTTATCATTCATTCCAGCTATTTCAACTTCTTGCATATCCTAAGATTTCTCACTCTAGTTAACTGGTTATATAAACCTCTATAGTTAGATTAGATGGTGGTTGGAGGTAGTCGACAGGAAACCCTGGATCCGGGTTTCGTGCTACTTGGCACTCGTCAGCAAGCTGTACCTGTAATATTGAGGGAACTGGTGCTCCCTGGCGGATTCGATCTCGTGTCACCCAGCTTCGCACTCAGAGACGTTACCACTGAGCTGTCCAAGGCGCGACCGACCTCCTGTAGGACTGAGATGTAATCACAATTGATTGATCACTGGGTGGCGATCAATGTCATGCGTGTCTAGTCTTTATTAGTGCAGATCGAATGCTATCGAGGGGTTTCCTGTCGACTACCTCCAACCACCATCTAATCTCAATATATAATGCCCACAGTGTCGAGTCACCTAGACTGGTGGTCACATTGCAACATGGTCGATAGCATTCGTTCTGCACTAACAAGGACTAGACACTCATGACATTGATCGCCACCCAGTGATTAATCAATTGTGAAACCTGTATAGTATCTGAATCAAACTGAAAACTATAACACTAAACTAGTATCTAATCATTTACATTACAAATTAAAATCAATTCAAGAGTTCATATAACCTGTATTTAATAAGTAAGTTACAATAGTTGAGCATTAACTAACAAAAACCCAATTAACGGATAATAATGAATGAGTGTAATATATTGATTAGTAATATGGTAACAAATTGTGATTGATTAAACTCTGAATCCACTTTTTTTTAAAGATTTATTACGTAATATTAAACTACTCTCTGGAGTATGTACTTGAAATGAAATCGAACGGACAAGTATGTCAAGGTTATCCTCTTAATAAATAAAAAAACTCTATTTATCCCCTTTCGGCAAGACTATAATTTATGAACCAATAAGGTATAAATGCTGATGAGCGGTTTATTCTCCTTCACGAGGAGCAACAGGCGTAAGTAAGTAAGTATAGTCAGGTATAAGATAATAGGTCTTAGATTTCAGCGTGAAATTCATTCATCTATTTGGCTAAATAGAGTTTTGGCATTATAGTTGATGTCAATTCGTAATGAAAACCCTAAATCTAATTTCTAACCTTAACCATCAACTATAAATCATAATTATAATTCTTCATACACTAGTTTATAACCTTCATTTGGTCATAGTTGATTAGGTGGACATTCTGAAGATCACTCTAGCGTTACTCAAAGGTCATCCATAAATTATAGTTTCACCAAGAAAAACTACTAACATTTCACGAACTTCCTGAGGAACTTCGTTAAACATGTCACCTTAGAAACTTATTATAGTTCAGTTCGCTTATTTATTGGACAGATAATCCTTTACTATAGTCAGTATTCTAAGGTATTTATGAAAAGGGTTTGGTGAAATTTATTAATGTATACATGATCATTGTGATTTTTAAATCACCGAATGATTTTGGTCCAATCATCACACTAAAACCCTGGAAGCTTTAAACAGCTATTTCGTCTTAGAATTCGACTCCTTGGTAGTGGACATCCATGGGCCTGCTACAGGTTATTGAACCAAGGACATTCGGTCATTCTCACAAACACCCAACCCTTAGACCATTGGGCGAGCACCCAGTGATGTACATGTCTAACTTCAACCAATCTGTGATACTAAGTAACCACCTTTAACTGACTTCTGTACCTTCCTCACACTCGATGCAGCACGAAACCGAAGATCCATGGTTCAATCCCCGGTGATGGGATTCTGAATGCTCACTGATGAACAGTACCATACTAAGAAGAAACAGCTATCCAGGTTTTCAATGGATGTGTAACTTAGATCGCTTTGTAATCTTAATAAAAAACAATAATCATGACACAAGATAAAATAGAGGGTTCGAGTCCCGGAAGGAACATCAACTCCTGGATGTAGGCACACTCAGTTGATGAGTCTTAAATAGGACGAAACTAGCGTCCTAGATTCTAATGCTAGCCATCATCCAGCTTTGCTTATAGTCATTATCGTTACTATATCTTAAAAAGACTGTTAACTAAATTCATTTTGTAGAACTTGTCTAATCCATGATTTATAAAATTTCTATGTCTTTCAACCATATCATGCATAGATTATTAGCGAAGATTTTATCGATAATTGTTGAGATAATAGTAGCATAAACTTTTGCAAAATTCTTTATAGAGACGATTGTTTCAAAGTATTCAATCATCACGATGATATAGTTGCCATAGTGACAGTGTTCTGTATCATAATTTCACATCACAAGAAGTAGATATTCATTGGTGTTAAATATTATTAATATGCCTGTTTGCTAACAAAATGAGCATACATAATACTCTGTCCAATAAAATTATGATCTGAGAACATAAAACAACCCCATCTTTATCTTACAAAATTTGGGTTACAACAATCTCATGCACTTCAATATACTCCCCCGTTTGTGGAAATGCACTCTTGAAGCCTTGATTTCGGTTGTTTAAAACAGCCCTGGTAACCACCAAAACTTGGGTTATTCTGTTGCTTCATTGTCATGCAATTTTTAACAACCTTGAATGTTTAGTTGAAACGATTTGTACAGATGATTTTTTGCATTATCGGTTAGAATATACAGTGAATCGATGATTCAAAATACCAAACCGAATGTGTTCAGTGACTTCACGAGCATTAATGGTCATCCTGAGCATTGCAATCTTGTGGTTTACATTGAAGCGTTTGAACATAGCTATTTTTCAACGCGTTATCGTGACAAAACAGTAATGTCTATTATTGACAACCTTAGTCACTCAGTTCATAGGCCTCAACATACTACAAGGGAAAACCAAGATCCTCAGATACAATCAGAGAATACCAACCCTATCAAACTCGATGGAGAAACTCGGGAACAGGTGGAAACAGACACGTATCTGGACAGTATCATTGACGAACAAAGAGGATCTGATGCAGACGTAACAGCAAGGATTGGCAAGGCAAGAGCCGCATTCCTACAGTTGCACAACATGAAACTCAAAACAACTGTCTGAAAGCCAACATCAAAGTCACAATTCTCAATACGAACATGCTGTAGAAGAGAGAAAATCAGCTTTCAGCTGAGGAGGAAATTAGGAAAAGACGTTGGAGGTGGACAGGACATACAATACGGAGGTCACCAAACTGCATCACAATACAAACGATAACTTGGAATTCTGAGGGAAAACGGACATAAGAGGACCAAAGAACACACTGCCCCGGGAATCGGAAGCAGACATCAAAAGAATGGATAGTGACTGGGACCGCTTAGGACAGAGTCCGATGGAGAATGGTGGTTGGCGACCTACGCTCCTCCACGGGGGATAACAAGCCTAGGTAAATAGTCACTTAGTCCACATGTTCATCAGACGGACACAACTTGTAGGGACCCCACCCAGTAAACGCAGTTACCTGAGACCACAGTGTCTTTGGATAATTGAGTTGAAAATCCAAGTCTATATTTCCAACTGCAATAGATATATCCTATAGTGTGATGACTGTTCACGGACAATCTTCATCATTCACGCAGGGGGATTCATTTTACAATTGATCACTGTTAAACACATGACTATAACTTGCTTGGGAGTTGTAGGAATTAACATTTGCCAGAAGCATCCTATTAAGTGACGGCAGTTGAAAACACCTCACCGGTAGATACTGCATATTTTGGACGACTATATAATAGTATTAGTATCACGAGATATGGAGATTATACGAAAAAACATAACCTGGTTAGAATGAAAGGATGTCACGATTCAACTAGTGATATAATCTGGCTACAATCTATGTAGTGTGAATTCTCAATGGCCAAAAAAAATTCCAAAGAAAACGACTCTATTGACAACTTTTAAAAAATTACTGCGAATTAATTAACATTACCGGATTTGTCAGCCTATAGGCCTCAAGTTTGAAGCCTACCTCACCTAACTCAAATTGGGTAAGCGCAGAGTATCTATTAGACCTTATATATTGAATGAATTTTAAAGTAGAGCAAATAAACCTGTGCCTAACAAATGAACTACATTAATCATCAGAATATTAAACAAACAACCAGCAAATCATTCAAACTAAGATATGATATGCGTCATTTGATGTATCCCTAATAACGGAGTAACATGATCTACTGTGATCATTGATTTATTTGTATTGATATTCTGAAAATACTCATAATATGAACAAGAACGAACATGACCATCAGCAATCCTCATATTAATATATATATATATAGGACATTATGAGATAGAACTGTTCATCAGTCAAACGAGCATAAGTCAATATAGACGAAATTCTATACCCTATTAAAGAAATAATCAGCTTTCTCTATACACTAAACCCTACAGCTATAGGATTTTACAGTAATATTAACTCTAGTAAATTTATAAACATTTTCTTTCCTGTAAATGTACGGTATTTAGAAGGATCTGCTCTACGAAAAAACATTAAATATCCGTTTAAAATTATCAACAAGACTAAATGTATTCAAAATCCCATTTACTTGAATGTTAATACAGTTTGCTATACAACTTGATTCTAGTCGATACATAATTGAATTGTTTATTTCATTTATAAGACATATTGTCAAACAAAATGAATATTACCAGGACAGATTGACAATGCACAACTAGTAAATGGAACCGGAGAAAAAAAGCTGTGAGAAGTAATTAAAAACAAACATTGTACATTACAATTGGTGTACTGAGTGACCTTCATTGCAAAGTAATGACTGAGTCATACACATTCACTCAATGTACATTTGTTAATCATTAAACTATTCCAAACGACTTTTCTCATCAAAATCTTCCACAAGCTCTGGTACATCGTCGTCTCCATCATCTGCCTTTGAATCTGATGTTTTTGAGTTTTCTACAAAGGTAATATTGAGAAATACAGAAATCATTAACAGCCGCTAATATTCAATGGAACAATTATTAATAGAATGGTATATCATAATGAAGCTCTATACTAAGGAGCGAGATGAAGCAACCTTTCTGACTTTTTTCAATCCAAATATAGGATAATAATAACAGTATAAACACTTTTAAGAAAACCTAATTAAGCAATTTTATTACATCTATAATATACAATACGTTAATCTTTGTCTGTCAAAATAAATGTCGACATCACTCTACATCAGAAGTAACTAGAACTTGACACTGATATACGAACACTTATGTGACATTATGAGCTTTCGGATAAATTCATTACGGTAGAATATCCAACTTGGTCTATTGTTTTCATATAGAGGCCCTCATACGTTAATATAAACAGCTGTTACCAACTTTTTTAGAACAAACCTTTAATATTTATTCGTTATTTACTGTTCATAACAATGAAGGAATACAAGTAGATAAAAACTACAGACAAACAAGCCACTTCTGCTATACGGAGATGAAACATTCTCATTAAAAATAAGTTGACAGTGTAATTAAGGATAGATTACGAAACATTGTAGTACATTTCAAGGATATCGGAAAAGAACTAACCATACGTTGAATCACAATAATATGAATTTAATATCAACTTTACATCAACACAGAGAAAGCGGGTACATAGACATAATTGTAAAAAATCAAATAGATGAGACGAGATTCTGCTGCGTGTCAACATGAAAATGACTTATTCAAAAGCCATAAATACTCAGATTTAAGCCTTTTGTCAGGTTATAGACAAAAATTAACCGGAATCTATAGCACGACTGTCAGCAAGTGCATAAGCAGTACTTTCTGACATGACTTGACATTGCAGTTTAACAAAACCATTTTAGGATCCTGTGTACAAGCGGAAAATGAGTAGTAAATTGCTAACTGTAGAAACAATTTGGGTTCAAAACTGGAAAATCAATAGCAATACGTTTCGGCCACTATACTGGATTGAGCGAAGTATAAGGATACTTTGATCCGGCGTAGATAAAACACTAAGTATGGCTTAATAACTGCTACAAGCAGTTACGAGGCATTTTTATTAACGGTAGAACGCAACCGACTCGTTTGCTGCTGCTTTTACAGACTATCTTTGGTATACGACCATCAAACAGAGAGCACTTAAACTAATTCCGCCTAAGTGTTACTTGATTGTTTATCATGCTTTTTGTGGTATTGATAGCAGATAGTCTGAGCTAATTTGTTTATCCTTTTGCGCCCACCATTTTAACTATATTTGGCAATAGCAAGATTAATCATAATGACCCTCTGAAGACCTCTGGTACGGTCGAGGGTGGAGTTCGCTTTCCCGTTCGAAATGCTCTCGTATGACCACGCGTATATAACCACTGCCAGGGAACACTTAACTACCGCCTTTTCACCGCGATGTTGTTTACGAAATCGACTATTGTGCTTAAACCGGGTTGGTGGTTATAGAACATCTATTCATGAGTTAAAAGACAATAATTCTACACCAATAGTCTATGTACGTCCGAGTTTCTAAAGGGGATAAATCAGATATGAACTTATTGTTGGTCACAGGGTGCCATGGATTCGCACCTTTTAACGTTGCTTCATTGTCTTGTGGTTTAGATTACTAAGTCAAAGTCTTGAGGAGTGATCTCCGCGTGTGGGCTCCCGATGTCGTAAGTATATTTTGGGGCCTCTTTAAAAGTTCGAGCAATAATAATAATAAATAATCGCCTGCACAAAAACACCTACAAGTCTTGACTATTGCCCCAAGTCAAATGGTTTACGCTACTGGATGACCGACGTTGACTAACTAACATTAAAAGTTAAGTTAGTCTGAGCTCCTAAATAAGACAGAATCACTGCATAGTCGAACCAAATATTTTGACACAAAACTTTTTTACTAACCATTCATTTTTGCCAATCGTAATTTTGCTGTCTCCCATTGATTAAGCATATTTGGGAACAAATCATTTAGTGCTGAAGAATACATAAGAATAACACAAAGATACTTTTATATTCAGCTTGTCCAGAAACTGCGAATACATTAGCTTGTGGAGCTGCTTGAACTTTTGGATTCTTGAAGTGAATCATAGTTCCATCTGGTTTATACATGTTAACCTAGAATTGAATAAACATTAATAGTATGATACCTCTTCTATGGTTGGGATAGTATTGAGGTTTAGTTTCTTTAGTGAACTTTGAAGTTTTTTATCATCGGCGGCAGCATTCTTATGAACTACTTTTTTCTTCCGTCGAGCTGTACCTTTGCCACCGATGCGCACCTGGTCACTCATCCCCTTTAACTTCTCCAACTTCTCCATGCGCACTTTATCAACATCCATCTTGGAATATTCTATAAGCTAATAATTCCAGTCTAATAGACAAACGCACGGATAAACTAGCTAAATCACGTCCAACAAGTCACGCCCAGGTTAACCTTGATCCCGGTGCAGTCTGTAAACAGAAAGCATTGAAACAAATGAAGGATAATACCTTTTGCTGCATTACGGTAACAGACAAACTGCAAACAGGAATGTTCTAGAAAACCTGACTTTTCTGCTTAATTCTAACTATTATTATATAAATTAACTGATTATGGGTTAGGATTTCCGTTGCGTTCATGGAAGCGGTTTCAGATTCGGTTTGGAATGAACAGGGGACTCAGTGGCTTATTTTAGTCCTGATAATGGTATTCTCTTAGCTGGCCTAATTTTCTTTGAATATGTCGACAGACGGAGCTTCAATCACTTGTTGAAGTCACAAGTTCTATACGTTAATGATCCGATGGAAAAGTTGATAGTCAGTTAACAAGTAATTTATTTCCGGCCTCATCAACTTTTTAGAATGATCACGTCGCCTCTGTTTCTTCCACATAATATGAGAAATAGGTTCAGTTTGGCCAGCTTCTTATCGTACAGCAGCCTTGAGAATCTGGGAATACATTTAGTTTCGTTTCTTTGAGTCCTCAGCAGCTGACTGCTTATTTTAGACAGAGGTTGTGTGCTTGTACACAATACCCAGATTTATGACGAAAAACACTGTATACAAAGTCAAAAAGGTTTAGCAATGACATAGCTAAAGGGTCTACTTACTAGGATCTTCGGCGGCTGTTGCACAGCGTTGTAAAGTAGTTTTTAAGACTTTGCTGATGATGACTCCTAGGTAATTGTTTGTCTGAACCGTGTGTGCACGTGTACCCTGATGACTAATATACATCATAATGTATTTGGGGGCATTCATTGGCGACCGTGGAACTAGACCATTCAGAAAATTTCTACAGGTCATTACTAGGCTACAAACTACTGTCTCCAATTTAAAACGCTCTCCATTAATTTATATTGCTAGCATGCAAAAACTTGTGATAGCAGAAGAAAAGGAAGGTCATCGGAAAACAGCATGTGCCGTGAGGTGCTTTGCTAATCACAGTTTCTCAGCTGGACAAATTCAGGTTGACTTGTACTCTCTGCCTACACTCAACTAAGAAATTTTTTTCAACATGGGTAAGTAACCTTCGATCCCCGTATCACTTAACTTAGATAGCAGTCTGTCGTGTGGAATTTTATCAAAAATTTTACTTGAGTTGATTAAGGCTATACCTAAAGTCAGATTTTGATTTTTTAAACCATACAAACCATCAAGAGCTACTAATAAGTTTGTGGAACTTGAATAACCTGTTCGAAAACAATTCTGGGTTCAAAAGGACCATATATTTATCTAGGTGTTTAAATAACCCCCGAATAATCTTTCCCTCGGCCTTGGCAATCACTCTGGCTAGACTTGCAGGTCGATAGTTCTCAGGTTTGTATCCCGTAACTGTTTTGAAGAGAGAACTTACAATGGGATTTTTCCATTTCTTCGGTAATTTGCCTTAGGTTACAAACGACTTAAGAAAAGTGCTTAAAAGATTCGCTGTAAAGTTTGCTAGTTTCTTCAGCAATCTAGGATGCACTTCAATAGGTTATAGAGATGTCTTTATATATCACGTTTAGTCTACAGACGTAATGTACCCAACATCTTGATGACACAATATTCGTAGGTTCAGGCTTTCCGTAAACATGTGTGTAGTGAGTTGGTTATCTATTGTTAAGAGAAAGAAGGAAAGCACCCAACTGCGTCACAAGACAAGCCCTCACATGGAATCCTCAAGGCCAAAGGAAAAGAGGATGACCAAAGAACACATTACGCCGAGAAGTGGAAATAGACATGAGAAAAATGAACAAGAATTGGATGGAACTAGAAAAGAAGGCGGAGGACAGAGTGGGTTTGAGAATGCTGGTCTGAGGACTATGCTCCATTAGGAGTAACAGGCGTAAGTAAGGGAAAGAAGAAACTCTCACAAAGGATCGACACACCAGGCACGATAATAGGTCAACCGACCTGTTGTCCTTATTTTTAAACAGTGGACTTTTATGAGGCAGGGAACTTTTATGAGCCTTTTGAGTAGGAATACAGAGAGCAGACCTGCGCGAATTTATTGCTATTCAATCAGAGTTTAAAATCTAGAAAAGCGAATGAATCCTTCAATTGCGATCAATAATCTTGCAAACTTATGTCCACGAACATTCCCAAATGCATTTTATTGTCAATCCTGCTAACAACTTTGCACTAATTCTCTTAGTCGTAGTTATACACTGTTATATGAGTATATTATATACATTCTTCACTGTGTGTTTCTGTTCATTCGCTTATCATGTTGACTTTTTTAAACCATATATAAATCCTTACTCTAATTTGCTTAATAGTAAATTTACTCTACGTCCATATTTCCGCACACATGGTTTGTCTGTTAACCTGCTTCCATGGAGTGTTCTCAAAAGCATAGTCTATCAAGCTTCTTATATTACGCTATCCAGCAGGATAAATCAAGATATTAAATGAGAAATTAAATTTTCTGTATGTTAACTGTAGTTCACAAGCTACGGTAGTCAGATACCTATCACAATCCTACGAAATCAAAGAACTGAACTAGGGCCAAAATTAGTTTGAAAATGTTCTGCCTCATGTACGCTCGAATAACTACAGTTTAATTTATAAATGTGCCGTAGTTATCTGGCCTTGTATTTGAACTACAGTCTACAACAGGAGTATGTTAAGTTAAATATTGCTCTCACTACAATTTCCCATATACACTTGTCTTGACAGTTTAATTCCAGACTATTCGGCAGACAATGGTTTAGTAGTATAGGGTCTCGTTAGGATGAAATAATTCTGTACGATACACTCTGAGTCAAGCCAGTCGCAGATGGAGAATGGATAATAATAATTTTTGTACAAGGTTATAATTAGTTTATACAATATTACCCAGTTAACCCTAATAGAAACACAAAGTTTCACGTACGTTTGCGGTCTCATTTTTATGGTCGAATGCTTGTACGTTCGTAGCAACCACAGTTTGTCTTTGAACAAATCTAGAAACTATAACATTCACTACTATTACTGTTACGGGAGAACTGAAGAAATTTGTGTTGTAACGTGTGTAGACTGCAGATTAGACGCGCAGCGTATTTATCGACCGGATCAATGACACGAAAAACACGTACGAACGACCCAGAGTTCCGATTGGCCCTGCTCCGCTGTCTAGCCTAGCCAGTTGAGTCCAGAACACAAGTCTCAGCCTCTGAGCTATGAATCGTTATATTTCAAACATACTCTGTTTATATACCAACCAAACAGACCACATCGTACCATAAAATAGAAAACAACATTTGTGCAATATTTAAAAAGCGAAATAAATATTAACAAATAGGGAATGTCCATTTAAAGTCCAAAGACACCATTAGACCTAACAGGATAATTACTGGTATATTTTTCCGAATATCCTAACCATCTGACTGATTAAGACCTTTATATTGTATATTGATAATTTTACTGTTTCTGAATGTATTCGTTTTACTCAACTTCTGAAGTTGTTTGTTCACATCATTGTTTTCGGGCATTTTGGTTTCCTTTGTCTTTGGTATGGTATTTGGGAGATTTTGCCCTAAGAACCTACAAAATTGAAGGTTTGTTTTGTAATTATTATAGGTATTGTCGTTAGAATGGCATCTGGGTCGACTATTTGTAAATTGCGAATAAACTTTTTTACCCAAATTGGAGTTTGGTTCTATTGTTAATTTGAGTTTGTAAATTGCAAGTAGATCGATATACCGTAATTCAATAACGGGAACGAGCAAAAACTTGGACGTGACAATTACTACCATACTTTATAACAATACGGAAAAGTCAATATGTTTAGGCCCAGCATTCTAAGAAATAGTTCAATTTGCACTTAATTATTTACATGTTCGTTAAAACAAACCGAAAGCAACAGCACAACAATTCCATACATATCTTTTTCCGATAAAAAGAAGGGTGTGGTTTTGCTGAGTCGTTATCGCTTAGTAATTTCGAACCAGGCGTTTATCATTCATAGTTGTCCTTTGCGAAGAATAATTACATCTCAGAATTTACGAGCAAAATTGGATCTAGCATCTAAACACTGAATCCTCTTTATTTTGTTTTGTATTCCAAGAAATGCCAATTTATCCCAGAAGCATTTAAGTTTTAGCGTGTTTCCAGTTGGAATATGATGGTTCATTCAAGAATTGTGTTCAGTACAACATAGAGTGTTATATAGCTGCCAACGAAATATATAATTTATGTAAATACGCATTTAGTCAACTTCAGTTTTTCTGAAACATGTGATACAGATATGATCCTTTTCTCGCAAAAGGCTCTTCATAAGTTGACATTGCTCCTAATCTCTGGGTGGTGGTAAGAAATCAAAAATGTACAGACAGCCCACAAAAATCAACAGACTCAACCGATAACTACTCCTTTAAGTTACAAATAATCAACAGAATAATATACATTGTATCCAGGTTTCACAATATTAAATCTGAAAACCACTCTTAGCGCTTCAAGTGCCATGCGATCCTTTAGATTCGTATCAGAACACATAAACTTTCACTGCCCCTGCAAACCCTTGCTTTACAAACTCTGGGTCTGGAGTTCCCTAACACGGTATCATGTCTCTCTGTTTACCTTCCTCAATAAAGCTATAGGTCACTCACTTATTCATCGATCCAGTATATTGGATGGAAGTCGCCCATTTAAAAAATATTAAATATCAGATCTGCAAAAAACTAATAAGGTAGCACCTTCAGGAATATCATCCCAGTGTTTCGGTCTAATAATAGTATATATGACTCATGTGTTCGGGCTATTAATCTGCGTGAGATAATTAAAGAAGTTCACTGTTAAGTTTGGATCATACTAGCAACTAACACCCAGAGATAAGAAATCTATCTATAACCTCCACTACTAATTTCTGGCCCAAAAGCAATCGGGCAGCCATCAAACACACAAATTTAACGTTGTTACCAACGGTAGTTACATGAACGGGATCAAAAATTTATTCGGCGATTCTAAGGTCATTCCAGAGTCTGAATACTGACAAAAGTGATGGATAGCATAGGCACTCTGCAACTATTT